GGGGGGGGGGGGGGGGGGTAATACGCACGATCGCGCGCGAGGGGGGGGGGAGGAGGCTGCCAGCCAGTCAGCAAAAAAAACGTTACACGCACGTACTCTGGGGCCTCATGGGAAGCAACATCCCTAACTAAGAGCATCATCTGTCCTCTTCTCGACCTCTTGCGGTGCAATGTGCGCCGAGTCGTCTCTAGCTAAGTGGGCTGGGTTTTTCCAACACAGACGACGATGATAGCAAACATCAAATTTCGCGGGGTGCGCGGCATCATGCATCGCCATCTTCGCACAACCGAAGAAAGCGGTTATACTCCCCCCTTCAGCCTCCTCCCTACCCCCCGCTAGCGAAATAAGCAACAACGATGCTCTTCGATACACAGAAACTATCCATCATTTTGGTAGGTGTCCAAGGCAAGGAAAAGCAAAAAAATAACATTCGAACTGACTCAACTATCCCAATCCATCGACGCAAGGCGTGGCCACGGGCGGCAAGCTGGGAAGCCACGAAAAAACAGCGCAACCTCAGCGCCGTTTTCCTCCGCAGGCAGCCCCCTTTGGCCAACATGCACACTTTCTGACTGTGGGCGTAAACAAGAACGACAACGAACGAGCAACTGAGGGTATGGAATATACGTAAGCATCATACACGGGTTGGGGGCCCTGCTCCCCAAGACCCGAAACGCCCCCATACGAAAAGACGATCCAGGTATCTACGGCCTCCTCGCCACAGCGGTAGACGTGCAGACCGCTCGGCAGCACAACGTCATCGAGCATCTCAACCGATCTATCTACCCTTTGCTTGACCCTTGCAGCCAGCTGCACATCACACAAGCCGCACACCTACTTCCCCCGCCGATAACAATCAGGGGGCAGCAACAGAGTCCCCAAACATGCGTTGTTCTCATCCCCTCCTCTCTTTCCTCTCTACCCCCACGCACCCCAGTTTACTTTAACACGCATCAACTGGATTCGTGAGGCAAGCTCACTGCTCTCTCTCTCAAAACAGACGGACCACAAAAGATACACAACACACGACCACGGGCAGCCCCCCCCCCC